GCTGCTATTAAAGCATCCCTTGGATGTGGCACTTCTGCATCATTTTACTGTTTAAGGAATTCCTGGCAAGCTGGCCCAGGCATCACTTAAACAAGAACTGTCGAAGGGAAGCTAAATTGTTTTACAGCATATACACACAAATGACAGTTTCAAAGTGGGTAGATGAACAAGAAGAATCTGCAGCAGGAGGCTAGGTAGCTAGCTGTTTGAAAGGAAAGTAGTGTTTGTCTTTCAAATACAATGCGTGCAGAGGATATTATACAAATTTACAGAGGGAAAATCAGAAGACATTGAGCAGTATGCAGCAAATTATCACCTGGGAAGATGGTATTCTAGCATAAGTTTCTGTTCACAGCATGTGGATCTGGTCACTTCAGTAAATCCTAAATTTGCCACCCCAAAAGAAGTGTAACGTGGGTGGTAAGACTTGTTTTGTCTCTAAACCTGATACCTATATTACTCACATTGTATCCTTAAATAAATACAACTAGTTTTTAAATTTATAAATACATATTATAAACATACACTTGTTAGGCATTTATATTGTATTTATATTCTGTAATATTGATTGTAGAAATCCCTTATTTCTGAAAAACATACCTGACATTGTTCTAGGTATTACTTAAGATCAACAAAGATAAGACTGCTTTTTCTGTGGTAGCCATGTTCTGCATCACAGACTATGACAACAGTTTACTTTTAGTGTCACAGTTTCCCAGGAATTAAAGCAACAACAGATCTCAAAGGTTTATCATAAATTAAACGTGCACCCTTTAATTCTTCAGATAGCTATGTAAGGAAAAGCTTTACTCCACTTAAGACATGCATGATGCCTTTCAGTCCTGGGTAGGAACATATCTGCCCTCAAAATGAGACACTACAGAGGATGGGAGGGTGAGTATACATCTTGGGGGATCCCCTGCCCCTTCTCCCCCCCATACTTTTGCAGCTTTGTCAGTCCACCTCAAAACACCCAGGACCAGAAACTCCAGAGCTGCACTGGGGATTTAGCCTTGCTGAGAATTTTCCTCAGTGTTTTTAATGCAATAGCTGTGATCTAAACCCTGTGTGATTGGGTAGCCAGCATTAAGTTGCACAAGAAGGGGATTAGTCAAAAGTTTGCCCCTTTTCCAGATAAAAGAGAGGAGGACACACAAAGCTTCAGTTTTACTTTCTGCATGTTAACACTAACACAGAGAAACAACCTGCAAAAAGATAGCAGCTCATTAGGCAGCAAGCTGCAATATATTTTTTGCCTTCTCCTTCATTTTACCCGGTACTTTACTTAGCTGGAATTATGTTTTGGCAAGTCAGCTGTTTTGAATATCTAGAAAAAATATTTTAACATTTGTAAAACAAACTGTCCTGCTGCAGTCAGACTAGGGCTAAATGGAAAATGGGTGGGATTATGAAGAAAATGTTGGAGGGCAGAAACAGAAATAAGCAAGCTAAGTGTGTGGGGTGCGTGAAGATTTCCAGTGCTGGTCACACTGCAGTTACCAATCACAGACACCCAGGTTTCTTCAGTATGAAAATCAGGGTGCAAGAGTATTGTGCAACCTGATCTCACCCTGACGTGGGGTTGGAATATCGCTGGGAAAATAAGCTATTCTAGTTGTAACAATAATATAGTATTATTAACTAAAACCAAAACAAAACTTAGTTGCCTCGTCATAGTTGATTGTAAAAACTGAGAAGGTTTTCAGTCCTAAATCTATAAGCATCAGGCTTAATTCCAATGAAACTGACTAGAACACTACATTAAAAGAAAGTCATGGTTGGCAATCCTTTACAAACTCTTGACTACATTATTTTTACAAATTTTCTGGGCATTCCATAAAGGTGGCACAGATCTCATGCTGCATAGCTACCTGCACAAACGCTACAGCACTGACTGAGGGGCAGCGTGGACCCAGGCTAGGGCTGCCAGACTGCATGTGATAAAAGGTCAAAACAGAAACTTTATTTGCACAAGCTTTTCTGAGATCAGATTGTGTCACTCAGGACCCTTCACCTTTTCCATTTTCCTCCTCTCTTTGTCACCCAACATTGGGATTTCATACACAGCACCTTTCCTTGTGTGCGTCTTTCATTGCTGAAGGATCTTTTGCCATTTCAGCTGTTTTGCTCATCTGTTAAGGTTCCTCCATCGAGTCTCCACTGCATCCCTTCCTTTTACTTCCTCTCACTAAAGACCTGCCGCAAGTAGCCAGAGAAAGATGGACACAGCTTCTTCCAAAGTGAAGAAGCTGAACAGGTGTGGCTCCCCTATTGCTTTTTATTGGAAATTGATACTAGTATTTAATTTCTGGGGAATTAAAGACAGAACTCCCGCTGCTGCTGGACAGCTGTAGTCTACTGGACTGACCCTGTAACTGTGCTGCACGGCTTTGTTCTTCTTTCTGCTAGGTACTATGCAGGAGAGAGCATTTTGCAATGCTTAGGAAGTCCTGAGAAATGCTACTGGAAAACATCCCATAAAAATGAGCAGTAACAGTAGTCAAAATAATAGGACACCAATATTGAATTCAAATCAGTATGTTTAATTTCTTCACTTTTGTCTGTTCCCCATTCCTGTTCATGCACAGCTTGATTTTTCCCTTTCTCTGCTTTGTGCCTTCACCACTTGTTTGCCTACCTGATTTTCTTCCTCATGTCACTTAAGAATTATTTTAGCATTCTTCCTCTGACATGTACAGGGATAGACTTGCAGCTGCATCATTTATTTACTGACTGCAGCAGAGAATTGTTTTTCCAATTTGATAACATTTAGCACTTTTGGCTGGCAGAACACTTTCAGACTTATTTCCTTGGGGAGAAGCTGACAGAAGGAACAACACCTGACAAAGTCCAGTTGCCTAATACCTGCAGGAAACTGCCCTGATATTTTTATGTCTAAATAAAGCATAAAACCCTTGTGGTCCTTGCTTATCACTTAAAAAAAAATAAAATAAAATGCTAGCATTTGATAGCTGTGCTGGAGCTGCACCAATGACCAGTGCTGTACCATGTGTGTACAGAATTAAGGCCTGGTGTTCTCTTCAAGGTAAAAGCAACAGAATAAAAATTGATTAGATCTGAGCAGCTTTCTACTTGTAACTTAACCTTTGTGAATTACTATCGGAAGGCAACCAGAGGGAACCGTTGTGTTTGGAGCTCTTGTTCACATTATACCTCGTTTCTCCTGCACAAAGCAATTCCCTCATATCCCAAAGGCAGAGCCTTTGATGCTGTCAGTCTTGGCAACAAGTAGCACGCTCTACAGCTCCTGCAGGAAAGTAACCATACAGATCTACATGTGATAGAATGCATTAATTCCTTTGCTCCACTTAAGGTGCTCCCAGTAAAACAGCAGGAAGAATACTCGAGGCAGGAAGTACAGCAGCAATGACTGCAGCAATGAGCTATGCAGAGCTTTTCTTCCCTTCCTTGCTGTCCATCCTCCACCCAAGACCTAATTGATGCAGTTCCAGCAGGCTAGCACATTGTTCTCCCTCTTCCACTGCCCTCCTACACTCTCCCCTGAGGCATCCTCAGAGCACAGCAGCCTACATGCCCTTTCTTGTTTACTGCTTACAAACTTTCCAATCCTGCATGCTTTACCAGTCCCACTGTTCTGCCTTCAAAAATTGTTTGCTCCTATCACCAGAAATTTTCTCGATCCTTCTCAGCCTGGCCCGTGGTCACACCTACTGAACTGTCTTCTGAAATGCTGGTGGCTCTAACGCTTTCTGTCCCAGGGTTTCCAGTGCTGCCCTTTCACCGTTTCTTCCCTACCCTCTTGCCATCTTAGGATCCCTTCCTGCCATCTGTCCATGCTGCCTAACAGATTAACAGAAATTGGCTGTATTTTACCACTGTACATTTGAAAAATGATACGCTTTGGTTCTGCCCTTTTTATAATCCTCTCATCTATTTGCATTTCAACTAGCTAAACACAGATCTTTTGTAGCAACTGACTTCTTGCCAGACAACTTGTGATGAAGCTTTTCCCTGCCTACTTCCTTACTCTTTTTGTTGCTGCCTGTACTCCAACTAAAGCAGCTCAGCCTGCCAGAACAAGGCGTTGCTTCGTCTTACTTCTGTAGGCAAATTTAATCCAGTATACTTTATGGGTTTTAGCAGCTGAGATGGCTGCAACCGATTGCCTGTATTTTGAAGAAGCCCCATTTAGCCACCAAGGTCTCCATCCTTGTTCATCAAAACATCATTTAAGTGCCTGTTTTCTCCTTGCCCTCCCTAGCGCATGTTTTCTGAGCAGCTTCTCAACTGTCTGCTACTTATCACACCCATCTTACTAGCCCCTGAGCATCCTTAGCACCCTTAGAGGCTAAAAATATAACACAGTGTATAAAATTATTTTGCTTGAGCACAGGCAAGCACACTCTTTATCCACTTCATCACTTTTGATTACACCATTTCTGTAAGTGAATGAACTTTGTGGTAAATACAGAAATAAAAGTTTCTTTGGGCAGTCTTTTTTCCAAGTGTACTTAATATAATATCAAACTGCATTATTCCTCTGGCATAATTATTCTCACCCATGAATGACTATGTAGGTAAAATTCAGCAGTCTTACATTCAGCAGTCTTACTGCATGAAATTAAGGGGGAAGCAAAGGCTCAAAAAAACTCAACCAACCAAAAAAAAAAAAAACCAACCACCAAAACTCACCAAAATGTGAATGATAGGTTCCCATAAGCAGGTGAGTATTGTCCAGTGAAGCTGATAAAAGATACATTTATTTCAGCTGCACTCTTTCTGAGTGCCAAGGCAAGGCTGTGGATCAGATCCTACATGTGTATGTTTTTAAAATCTACTTTAAAAAAATTGAATAGTTTCATAGTTTCATTTTAAGGTTGCTCTACTAACCAACTTGTTTGGGTTTGTTTCAGATTCACTGTCTCAATGGAAGTGGTACCAGCCTGGGCCCCAGCAGTGGGCTTCGCACTCTTGCCCCATGCAGGAGGATTTTTAGGAAGCACAATAACCAAAAAGGAAATCTTGGTGTGGTATGAATCTCTGCAGAAGCCATCTTGGTGTCCACCTAACTGGGTGTTTGCTCCTGTTTGGGGAACTCTCTATACATCTATGGGGTATGTTTTTCACATTGTATCAACACACTTATCTGATCTTCAAGTTATTTATTTTATAATACTAGACCATAAAACTATTACTGTATTCCTGTAGCTGTATGTTTGTAAGAAACTGTGTCAAGCTGCCTGTGTAACAGGTAAGAACATGTTTGGGGAGTTGTGTGTGGGTTTGATAGGACATTTTGTACACAGAAGTATCCACTTCAGGAGTTTGAACACCTGTCATTAATTTGCTTTCATTATTCATTCTGAGGGGAAGACCTGCCAAGCTGGCAGCAATGGAGTGAGGAAGCTCTGGGATTTCTTCTAAGCATGTCCTACAGTAGCTTTAAGAAAATGAAAAAAAAAAGAGAGAGAACTGTTCTAACAGAGCTCAATTAAAAGAAAACAAAATCAAAAATAACATACATGTCCTTTCAAATAAAATTGGCAGGCTGTTAAACTATTGATGTCTGAAACCCTCTGCTGCCTCCTTATTTAACTAGTTTAAAATACCTGACAGCACAGCAATTACTGTCAAATGAACAGGAAAGCATGAGGCCAAATACCATTCCCACAGGTACTGTAAATGTTTAATACTACTATATTTTGGCAGCTGTTACTTTTAATAAGATGTAGCAAAAATATTTATAGAAGTAGATTGTCTCAGGAGATCATTTGGGCAGCTTTGTCACTTCTCACAGACTGCTCCAGAAGCTGTCCACCCAACAAAGCATGGTTTTATGTTAAGTCTGCTCAGGAGCTTCGGCAGAGGCTGGTGCAGCCAGCAAACACTAAATGATGCCTTGTGTTCCTTCTGCACTTGTTCATTAAGAACTAGCTACAATCCAAGACTCAACATCTTTTTTTTTCTTTTTTTTTTTTTTTTTCCTAGCTATCAAATATGCATAGTTTTTAAACCCATAGTATTAATTTTTAGGCTACAATCTGTACCTGGATGTTAAATTGGCTCTCTTACAGCGTGTCTTTTTTAATAGCTCTTTTCTTTTGTATATTCAGAGAGTTAATATTTGAATTGGAGCGTTACTGTCATGGGGATAAAAAAGAAACAAGAAAAAAAAATCACTTTCCCATGAAGGGCCTTCTTCAAGTTGACTGCACAGCTCATAAGCCTGTTTCCTGATTTCTCATCACTAAATCTGGACACTAAATTAAATCTTTTAAAAATCCTGATTGTGACAGTTTATCAGCTTACTTTGGAAATACCAGAAGCAGATTGATGGACTTGGTTATGTACTATATATACATCTAACTCAGTGAAAAGGCGTATTTATTGTCAGGCATTTTTTTTCCATAATCTGTCCTGTACACACATTCCTTGGAACAATCAAGACTCCTGGTTCCTTTAGTTATTTCTTGCTTTTAATACATTCAACAGATTCTAACAAAAAGCAAGGTTTAATAAGCTTCCATGCTTTTCTTTGATGTTTAGTTCCCAAATAAATTTGTGCACGACGAGCTTTGCCTTTAGTCAAAGTTAGATGTATCAACAACTCTGAATCCACACTGTAGCTGTGTTAAGTCACTTAGAAACTGACTTTGGTCCTGATGCCTTTTACAAAGAGAAACCATTAAGTTGCTCATCCTTCTCTCCCAAAAAGAATATGTGTTTTAAATATTCTCTGTAGTCAAACTGCCAGGATACCAGAGTTGCATTGTCTACTTATTGTGAAAGAAGTGGTCAAGAAGCAAGGTTTGGTCACCAACTTGGTCAGACCCAAAATATCCGTATTATTGAACACTCCTACAAGTGTTTGTCTGCTCCTTAAGGAAATAATGCTTAAGAGTTGGTATCCATTTTTGCTCCATTACCAGTAGAAATACGTATGAGCCCCCGCTGTCCAGCAAAGTGCACAGTCCAGTTCACATGCCTACTGGACTCCTACCAAGATGGACTCTGTATTCAGTTTTTAATTCTGAAACAAGAGTATAATTTGAGGTGTTGGCATTTTGTCCACGGGACTCTTGTCTCTTGGAATGGTTCTGCAGTCATGTGTATTGAAATATCTAATGAAAAAGTCAAACAAGCAAAAGAAGAGTGTTGGATGACGAGTACTCATTTTGCTAATCTGTCACGCCTTCCATGCAAAACTAAATCTTACATTGGCCAGTCTCACAAATCCCAAGAATTCTTGTCTTTAGCAGCTTACACTGTGGGATCTTTCCAGTGAATTGCTTTTCAGTAGCATTAAGGTGGCTTGTTCAAAATCTCGAGAACATTTTAGGAAGATCTTTCAATAGATGGGATCCCACAGAGAAGGAGGGTGCTAGATGCTCCTTGTTCTTTCAACAGAAGTCCTAAAAATCTTTGTTCTTCCTATCTTTGTACCTCCCTGCCCCTCACCATCCCTTCTGAAACATGACTGTAGGGTTCATTCTTTGCTCAAACACCATCTACCACCCATGCTTCTGTTACTCATTTTGTCCATTCCCACCTCAATTCCTACTTCTCCTATATTCATCTATTTAAAAAGCTTTCTTTTAAACTACAATATTTTTAAAACATCATCTCCCAGTATTGATTTTTTTTTTCCTATTCAGAGACTTACCTTTTATCTTCGAGTCTTAAGATTTGCTGTGTTGAAATGGAAGCATTCTCTTTTAAGACTTAAATGCAGTAGGTCATCTGCTCCTCCATACCTAGAAATAAGAACTCTGGCAGAACAGGGGAATTTTTCCTCCCTCCATCTTGCTGTCTGCAACAGATGATCAAACCTGCGCAGTCATTGATTCTGTCAAGTAGTGCCAAAACCAAATTAATTTAGTTTCTGACACTGAAGCAATTTGATTTGATTAAGAATACGTGGTTGCTTTCTAACCTGTGTATTGAATTACCCCTTACATTTGCTTTTTTTTTTTTTAGATATGGCTCTTACCTGGTATGGAAGGAATTGGGAGGCTTCAATGAAAAGTCAGTGGTTCCTCTGGGCCTGTATGCAGGGCAGCTAGCATTAAACTGGGCATGGACTCCAATATTTTTTGGAACTCACAAAATGGGATGGGTAAGTGGATAACGAAGTCTCCTCAGTATACGATTCTGCAGTCACTTGTAATGTGTTAAAACACAAGTTTTGTGTTATAATTTTTTCTCCCTGAAACTGAACGTGATTTGTGTAATCAGTATAGAATGCAGCTTGCAGAAGTTTTTCTTTATGCATGCTAACAGCCACCTATGAGAATTATGTATCTATAGCACCTGTGAATGTTTAGATTTCACGTAGTTCTTTCTGCCACCTTTTGATAAGAGCTTTCTGTGACTTGAAAATGTAAACATTTATGCCTTAGTAAAATTCCTAGCTATCTCTTTGGCAAACAGCAGTGATAAGAAGCTTATCATTACTCATGTAATCAGCATCCATTTTAGATCAGACTAATTTTCTGCAGTCTGAAGAAGAACAGCTTGCCTCAAAAATAATTAGTATAATTAGTAGTTCTTATTATTTGCCTGGTTTCCTAAATAAACAAGCAACATTATAGTAGCAGAACACTTTGAAAGCCATTGTTAATTTGATTTTATGGCATCTCTTTTGGGAAGCATTTATAACAGAAAAGCATTCGGTGAGCTTATTTGCTGTAAGTCACACCGGGTTTCTATTCAATGTAGCACTTCCTGCTACCAAAAAAGAAAAATAAGGAAAAAAATAAGGTATATATAGGTGAGATTTTTATCTGCTCCCAGCTGCTGTGCCCTTTCTTCTGACTGTTATGAGTCAGTTCACCTGACTCATAGAGGACAATCTTTTTCAAAAAAAAAAAAGAAGAAATCTTTTTCACTAGCTAGTTTCTGAGAAGAAATAAACCACAGAAACATACACCAAGTGTCAGAGCTAACTGGGAAGAGCCAGACAAATATCTTGACTAACTAGTCAAGAAAATGCAAAAGTAAAACACTAACCACCTTCCTGGTGTTCCAGGGGCTGGTGACTCTGCTGCTCACGACTGGTACTGCAACAGCTACAACTGCTTCCTGGTATAACATCAGCAAAACAGCAGCTTATTTGATGGTTCCTTATTTAGCTTGGCTAACCATGGCTTCTGCACTCAATTACCGTATCTGGAAAGACAATTGTGACAAGAACTCTGAATAAACAGCTTTTCGCCAAAAATATTTTTTCCTTAAGAATTTTCTAAAGAAAATTATGACTTTTTTTTAGCTAAACTACTTATACCATTACTATTTGTTAATTACAGTTTGATAACAGCAGTCTTTGTTTGAAACAAATGTGTCTAACTGGGTAAGTCACACAGGAGTTTTATGGTAAATTAAATGATAGTGCTGATTGAAAGGTAATATGATATTGAAAACTAGTACATTTTATAAGACAACAGCATTTTAACTGTTACCAGAAATAAGCACAAATTGCAACCTCACTACATTCAGATGAAGAAATCCATCTGTATATAAATACAGCTTCCAGAAAGCTGTTCCAAACAGTTGCAGCCATGACTGTGGCCTGAGTCTTTCATGTGTACCACTATAGAGTGTTGTGAAGTGTCTCGCTACAGCCATCAGATATTTGTCCTGTAATCATTGTACTCTGCAAATATTTGAGACCAAGTCTTTTTCACAATTTGTGCCTTGACACTTTGGAGCATTGTACAGTCTAGGTGTCAGCTAAATGTATTAAACTACATGTAAACTTACTTTGTTCCTGTTTTTATTGTTTCTGAACAAAAAAAAAAAATAAATACTGAAGGCAACAGGATGCTGTAGCCCCAAAGGTGGCCCCTTCCTTTCTTCCAAACACTGTAATGGACAAACAAAAACAGCTAATTCAAAGCACCTGAATTTGAAACCAAGAGCACTCAAATATTTAGCAGCTCTCTGCACACACCTCTGGCATCACCAGCAGCACTGGCCAAAAAGCACCAACGTACTCCATGGAGACTCCTCATTGTGCAGCCAGTTCACCATTAGACCTTCAAGGTGGAATGGGCAGCCAGGTCACAAGTAGGTTTGCTGCTCTTTAAGGCGCTACACACACAAGCACTGAAGGTACTACTGCTTGCAGCCTCTCATTTTAGCTTCTTGCAAACAAGGGTTTCTCCTCTTTAAGGTTATGGTAGCTGACATGGTAAGATCTGGAATGCTTAGTTCAACCAGTTGCTTCCTACAAGGCAAAGAATTTTTTATCTAAAGCAGAAGAGTATTTTTGCCCACAGAATATGGCCCAACTGCATAAATCTCACTAGGTTTCCTAGTTCATTCTTTCGGTTTGGTAAGCATGCTGTTACTTTCCCCTTTGTACTGAGGGAAACCTTCCCCTCCACTCAGGATCCACAGTTGCTTTGTTACTTGTTCTCAAGTACTTTGAAGGCAGAGAGTGCCTTTTGCTTTCCTGCAAGTCACAAATACATCTGGTGAGCAGCACTGTATGTCTGTCACGTTAAGGGGTGTAGCTGATTAACCGTTACGGGCCTGGTCGGATTCAGGGTACTGAACCAGTCGGACATTCACCAAAACATGTTAACCATCTGGGGGTCCAGTCAGACATTCACCAAAAACGCATTAACCGTCTGGGGGTCTGGTTGGATTCAGAACACTGAACTATCATGGATAACCACCCTTACCCTAGTTGCACTTAATGAGAGCTATCACAATGCAATCAAGTATGGTTTATTACAGCAACAGATAATCAGGTTCTTTTGGATTGCCAGCGATAGTGACTGTTTGCAAAAGCAAGCTAGCATGCATGAAATACACAGGTGTTACAGATGTTACAGGTGCATGGCCTAGAAATAAACACGTTAAAAAGATCAAAGACTCTAGAGAGATTTATAAGTATTCAGATCTCACCCAAAGGCGTCCCAATATGGGGGGGAAGAGAGGCTCAGCCCGTCAACTGATCCCAGGAGTCAGGAGGTCCTAAGGATGTTGTATTACCTCGGGATGGTATCTCCCCTGACGATGGTATCTTCCCTAACATCCTGTCTCTCTTGGGACAATTTATATTATTTTCTATCTTTTAGGTGGAGCTCGAGTGGCTCTGGTCAAGCATATCTTAGTAATGATTGGTGTAAAGTTTTCCCGTCTCCGTTTAAAGTAATAGGCTCTGAGAAATTCAGGGCACATGCTCAGTGAGGAGTGGTCACACCTTGGAGGCAGGTAGCTTTTGGGATGGAGGTGTGTTTTGGTATTATAATGATATTATAATGAGCAAAAAGTACACTAGGGTACAGCATTTGTCAAAACATGACAGGTCTTTGGCTCAGGGTGGCAAAAAGTGCAGCTTTGTGCACAAAAACAATCGAGTCCCCACCTGATTACAGAGCCTCGCCATGGTGTCTCTACTCCACTCTACGCTCCGTGCTGTTCCTTAGGGCTAGCACACCAAGCGCGATAGCATCTAAGGTTGGGAGTCTAGGGAACGCTCAGGTAATGCAGTTATGCCCTACCCTGAAAGCCTCTTCAATGCTGTACCTTTTCCTTAAAAATGTGAATGTTAGTTTTATTTTCCTAGTTACTTCAGGCAATTACACCACAATGTCCCCTTAGATCCAGTCTCAAGCACCTGTTTCTATATTCTGTACCACAGCCAAACTATCATATGCATTGAAAGTAGTCAACTGTCTATGATAAAGAAACAGAAATGTGATTAAGCACTCCACATCACCTTTGAGGAGTTCAAAGAAGTTCTGACTGGTGAACTGCAGACTCTGATATGGCTGTCAGCACCAACTGTGTCTGACTGATGTAGCTCTTCTTTCTGCCCCACCTATGAAGTGACAATCTTTGCAAGACAGATGGTTTATTTCTCTAGTCTATGTTCCAGTCAGTAAAAAAAAGAATAGCTTTCTGAAGAAGAGCACCCTGATATAGCCTAAGAAATCTTTCCCTTCCTGATCACAAGGGATAACACATTTGATAGCAAAACTTCAAGTAAGGTTTCAAACACTTCTACAATTTTGTAATTGAACTTTGTGCTCAGATTCCAATGGCTGCAACTAGCTATGAAGATACTACCCACATAACTTATACTTCATGGTGGACAGAACACCTTTCGCAACTTGTCCATACATAAAGCAACATAATACAGCCTAAAATTGCAAATTTCAGCTAGTTACCCTGATCTGAAGGGGGATGAGAGGTCAGGAATGATTCATTTGAAATTGACAACTCACTCCCAAACATCTGTCTTAGGGTCTTAACTTGAAAATCCAAAGACTGCTTGGTCCTCTAGCAGTTTCTTGGATCCATTTCCTTTTCTCAGGCTTTTTTTTTTTGTTGCTGCTCTAGACACAACATCCCTCTCACTTCCTGACTTCATCCCTTCTCACAAGTCTAGTTTCTCTTTAAGGGGCAGGCAGACAACCATGCAATACAGAGTTCCGATTTTTTTATTTTTATTTTTTTTATTTTTTAAATCAAGAATGGGAAGAGCCATCAAATACTCCATCTCATTACCTTGTAAGTTCACTTCACTGAAATACCATGTTATTCTCCCATAAGAAAGTATCATCCTTCTGTCCTTAGTCAAAATATTTAAAATAAATTAGTCTATCCCACTCTTTAAAGATACTTCAGCTTTGTTTAGCAAGACAGAAATGAGACGCCTAACAATTAACAGATTTGCCTCACTTCGTAGGATTTGCATTCATATCAAAAAAAACTCAGAACTAACACAGTATTAACTTCATGCACAGATTTCAGCAGGTATTCACCAATTTCATCACCTTCAACTGATTCCCCACTTCTTCAATCAAGCTTCATATATTTGATTTTCAGTGAATTTCCCACATGCAACTTTAAAATAACTTGTTTATGTCCACAGAGTGAGGTGAAACATTTTAGATCTTTGTATAAGAAAGGAGTGGCTAGGGAAGATATGCAAACTCCAACATGATTCAGTAAATTATAATTTTAATGTTGACAGAGAGAACTTATGCAATGTTTCCCAGCAAGCAAACAAGAGATTAGGCTACCTGAGAAACAAGTCAACTGATCCAGTTAAAGTCCTATTTTGAGGTCTCCCATATTCAATAAACAAGATATTTGGTCAACACAAACTGGTGATTTATAGTATTAAGCAAATCAAGGAAAAAGCAGATAAAATAATAATTGGTACAGTAAACAGTATATGCATATTCTTCTGATATGACATTTTCTCCTGGGTTACTAATACAGGAAAATAATTGCATCAACAGCTCATAGAACTGAAATTTAAATATTGCTGTTAAACATATCTGTGAAGGAAAGAGTCAAGTCTATTGTGGCTAGACAATACACGTCACATTGCAGTTTTTTGTTTCATCCAGAAATAGGGTGCTGAAGACATCATTAAAAAAGGTAGGGTGATATTTGCAGGCTCTATCACAGTCAGGATTAAAGTTCACCTCCAGGATCTGAGGCTGCATAATTCTCTTCCCTGTGAAGGGGAACACAAACATTGCCTTTTAATACAAGCTATAAAGAGTTCCTGAATCATCACCTGTTGTTAAGACAGAAACTACAGGAAATGGCTAGAAAAAAGCATCTTTTATGACACAAAATGTCAGGGCCTTTTGTTTCAGTGGGTTTGAGCTTCTTGTTTTGCTTTTTTTTATTTATTTGTTTTTGTAAGAAAACCCTGTTACACCATAGTTATCCAGAGGACAGTTACCCAATGGATTCTGCAATCACTGTGCTAATCCAATGCCTCACTTAGGATGAATACGCAGCAACATAATGGGATCTCTTCACAGTCCTGTTGCTTTACCCTCCAGCCATTCCCACCTGCCTTGTCATTTCAGCTCCTAGGAGGAAAGTGGGAAGTTTAATTTTCTCTTACAACTTAATCAGTGCAGTTCAGAGAGTTGGGAATCTAATGCATTCTGTGCAAAGAGAAAAAGAATTCTACTTCCTGTCTGGTGCTGAAATCATAAGTGAGGGTACAACCTTCTGCTGTGTAGGTAAGCCATGCTTTGCTCAGCACAGCAGCAACCTGTCCATCTGTCCATAGGCTGCTAACAGCATCACTGCTGTGACTTTGGCACCCATGCCCCCAGCTTCCAAAGGCTACGGCCTTACACAGCTTGTGTTCAGACATGGCTGT